CGCATATATCGTCGAACAGTAGCAAGTTTCGATGGCATACAGTGTTCGGTTCCAAAACTTGAGCCTGAAATAATTTTTCATTTTCTACAGTGAAGTTGTATCAGATAGTCAGTATGAACATGCGAGTATAAGCAACATGAAGCAAAATGAAAATGATGAACCAATTCGGTATTATATTAACGATAAAAACGAATTGACAAATGTAAGTAAGCAAAGAAGGAAACTGCTACTTTTTCACTCTTCTTTCTCACTAATAAAGTTCGGCATCTGAATTACTGTTTGTTGATTACACTAGATCTTGTTTTATAAGTTTATAACCATGATTTCATTTTCAGGCGTATCATCGATCTGCCAAGTCTTTTTTTGAGTCAACGTGCGTTGAAACGCGTTTGTTTGCAAGGGGAACCCATTTTGACGCGTTTTTTGTGAAAAGGAACACGTTTTGACGCGTTGATGTACTATAAACGCGTCAAAATGCGTCAGAGAAAACGGTTGCGTTGATTACCAACGGGTTTAGTAGGACCATTATTTGGCGACCTAACGCGTTTGGTTGCGTGAGAGGTAATAATAGGAGATAGTAAATTAACTCTGTTCAGTGTTTTTAATAGGAATTTCAGGCAAAGTGTATTTTCAAAAAACAGAGCGTACGTATACTTTGCTTCCGCTTAGTAAACTTACCATTAAAACACTGGCTCTGCTCACTTCTTTCTTTCTTAGATTTCTGTGAGAAATAGCCATTTAAATTATTTTATCATAAAGAAATAAAAAGGTGCGAAAAGCCACTGGCAAAAATATCATTTTTGAGATTTATCATAGTTGGACACCCCAAAGTGTCTACTTTCAACTGCACTATAATTTATTGGTTTTACGATGATTTTTTTGACACACACAAAACTTGTAAAATGATTCTTTTACAAACTTTGGTTATTGAAGTTTATTCAGCATCCCTACAGATTTACTTTTTCCGGTAAAGATATGTAATATTTCAAGTCGTCTGGATAATTTTTCGTAAAATTGAATCAGTATGGAGTAAAAGTATACATTTAAACATAATAAGTTAATATATACATTTTCTTATACAGTTATGATTATTCAAGCTTAAATCAGCTTTTTCTCGTATTAGTATGTTTTTCTAATTTTGTGGGATCATAAAAATACTATTTTCTAAGTCAAAAATGATTTAGAACAGAAATAAATTTCATATTTTGAGCGGAGGCGGAAATTTACGAAAATTTCGGCGGAATTTCTAGCGGCGGAAAATTACTACGTGACGGCGGCAGAAAATGATCCACGACCTAAGTTGGTCAACTTGATACCAGAAACAGTATAAATATATTATATTCGAAATAGGTCCTTCTCAAATTTGAACTGATTAACTGTACTGGAACAATTGTTAATAGATATCAGAATTTATGAAATCAGAAATACATAAAAGGTACTTCTACTCCTATTTCCTTGTTTCGTCACCACTGCAACTTGATGTAAAACTCATCGATGCTTGGACAAATTAGATGGTATTCCAAGAAGTTGCGAGATGTTAATCAAGCATTGTAGACACTTCAACATCACCACATGAATATTCCGTTCAGGAACAGCGTTTCTCATCTGAATAGTAAAAGGTAATGATTTCTCCATCCTAAATGATTTTTTCATCAGTGAGTGTCTGCCAGAAAGTTTTATTATAATCGTTAACTGTGTGCTGAAGTTTAAATTTTTCCATATTAAATCCAGTCAACCCCAGACGGTTTTCATAAACGAGAAGCTTTGATATATTATATTAAACATATTCTATAAAGATCAGATTTAATTACAAGATACACAATTAACTTTATTTATGTTTGCCATCATTTTAATTTTTTATTCTTTTAAAAAGCAACAATTCTTTGCTTGTTTGTTTATACAAACACATGTTGAGAGAACGAAAACAAAACAACAAGAAATAAACGGAAACATATTTTATAAATAATTTAACTAATGATGACATTTTGTGTTTTTCAGTCGTGAGGGTGTTTATTGAAAATCTCCCTTTTCAATACCAGTTGTTAATTTCTTTTGCGTGTTAGCTAAATGTTCGCTAAATTCTTGATAGGGTGTTTTTGTATAAATTGTTTCTTTCCATAAGTCAGGTGTTAAATAACTGTACGTTTTTGACATGGCAGAATAAGTGGCTTTGGCTAAAAGAAGACGAACAAATTATGTTATTAAAATTAACAGTGCTAAGTGAAAGAATTTTTAAGAGTTCTTCTTTGTTTTATGCTTACCGAAATTGCCTAGTGTGGCTGTTGATCCTCTTGAACTAGTCCAACAATCTTGAATTCCAGCCATTTGAAGTAATTTTTTTGGTACGGGTGCACATACTAAACCTGTACCACGTGGAGCAGGAATTAAACATACTAATACACTACCACATTCACCTGTAACCTAAATAATAAATAAATATACACATAACATTCATTTACACGTTAAACTTCATGTAATAAATGTAAGGAATAAAAGTTCAAAATCTGAATATTATATGAAATCTGCTCCTATGCCAAATATACTCTAGAGTCGTTGACTTACTTTACATGGTACCGTGTGTGCCGGACTGATTTTGTTTCCCCAATATCCTCTTCCCACAGGAATAACAGATAATTTTGCTAAAATAATTGCTCCACGTATGGCTGTTGCTACTTCTTTTGAGTAGCAACTCACCCAAACCAATATGACCTTTACCATCGCCAACAACAACGATTGCCTAAAAATACTGATTATCAATGTGATGGATGTTTCAGAAAAAAACCAAATAAAAATTACTTTGAAACGTGTACGTTGACCAGCACAGGTTTGTTTTTGTACGGGCATGATTTTTAATACTTCATCTTTTAACTCAGGCAATAAAAGATCAATGATATCAGCCTCCTAAAAAATTATATCA